AAAAAGAAATAGAAATAACCGATGTATTTTTATGTAATGGATCCATTTTTTATTTTATTAATGACAATTATGTGTAATGGATGATGTTTAACTAATTTTATTATTAGTGGATCAAATTTAGTTCCGTTAGTGTCTTGTTCTTTTTTGAAGAATTGTTCCTGTTCATAGAGTCTTTGATAGTTGAATAATAGTTCTTTAATTATGATGAATTTGAGGCCATTTTTGAAAAATGGTTTATGTTACACATTTTTTCTTCAATTTTTAAAGATTGAAGTAATCTCTAGAATTAAAGAATTGTTTATGTTCAAGATTTAATGAAAGTTGAATGATTGTTCTTTAATTTTTATGAAATTGAGACAAGTTTGAAAAATGGTTTATCTTGCACATTTGTTCTTCAATTTTAGAAAATTGAAGTAATCTCTAGAATTTAAGAATTATTCAAGTTTAGGATTTAATGATAGTTGAATGATTATTCTTCCATTCTGGTGAATTTGAGATCATGTTTGAAAAATAGTTTGTCTTGCACATTTGAAGTTGTTCTTTAATCCTATAGAATTGTTCTTTAATTCTCTAGAATTGAATGAGAATTTATTTTTAATTTTGGAGAATTGAAGCAAAATTCTACATAATTGAAGATGAATTTTCATTCAATTTTGGAGAACTAAAGTAAAATTCTTCAAAATTAAAGAACAACAATTCTATAGAATTGGAGAATTTTTTAACAATTCTCTAGAATTGAAAAACAACTTCAAATATGTAGAACTAATTTTCAATTATGTAAAGTTGTTGTTCAACAATTCTATAGATTTTTTCTTCAAAATTCATTCAATTTTGAAGAATTTTTCAATAATTCTATAAATATACTAACAAAACAATAATTACAACCGAGACAACAATTACAATTGTTATATTCATAATGTTTTTTTTCTCTCGTCTTCTTTACCATTACTAATTTTCTCTCTATCTTTATTATCACTGCCAATCTTCTCTCTTAAAGCTAGATTTTCTCTAAACAAATGCTCATTCTTAATAACTAATTCGTTTTCGGTATACTTTAAAGCATTAATTATATTTCTTGCTTATCCTTTCACCATTGAATATTGAAATTTGAAAGTAATTTTACTTTTTACTTCATCTTCCGCATTGAATTTAGGACGCATAAAGAACCTCATTCTTGGATTATTATCACTCCATGAAGTCCATCGAAGAGCTAGGAGTTTACAATTGTAGTATCTCGTAGGACAATCCTCTAGATAATTATATTGAGGTTTTTTAATGAACGAGTGAAGATAAGTCTTCCACATTACATGCTTTTGATGAACTTGAAGTAGATGAAGAAGAACAATGAGAAGCTAAGAAATCGCACGATGACATACCAAATTTAAGGAAGATTTCAAAAAATTGAAAATGCCTCAAATGATTCTACCCCTAATTCAATCAAATAGAAAGAAACCCATAAAACCCTAAAATTATCTTTTTCAATTACGAAGGCTCTCTCTCTCTCTCTCTCTCTCTCTCTCTCTCTCTCTCTCTCTCCAATCGTTGTAAATATTTTGGTTAGATTAGGGTTACAAGTGATGCGGACCAACGGGTCTTGAAATTCATGGAATGGTATGAGCGTGATAGAAACTGAATAAAAACCGTCGATCTAATATTTATATTTTTTTTTAACCTAGTTCGATGTCAAACAGTGCTAAGCCTATGATTTAAAGGTAAAACTCAATTTTTAGGTTTTTTGGCCAACGAGTAAAACTCATAGGCTAAGCCTATGATTTAGGGTGATTTATCATTTAGCCCTCAAAATTGACTTTTATTATTTTTAAGGATTTTTTCTTATTTTTAGGTTTTTAGTATTTGTTTTCTTTATGAATTGCTTTAGGGTTTTGGTCGAATTTTCCTACTTATGTATGACTTGGAGGTTGAAAAATGCAGCTTCCTTTGATTAATAAAAGTTTATGAAAGAGTATCTTAAGTTTATATCAATTTTTTACATTCTTTGAATTAAAAAATTTGAAGCCTATTTCTTGATATTTGTGCATAATTCAATAAGTTATAGTAGATCGATATTTGAATATCGGATCATCGGTATTTATTTTTTTCTTGAAAGTTTTTATTACGTTAGTTGATATCAAAGCTCGATTGTCATTGTTTTGACCATGCTAGCAAGTAGATAGCAACAACGAGAGTGATATATGGATGAGATCTATAAGCGCAATGATGTGGTGCATTTAGAGCAACGAGTTGAGTAGATGAATGATAAGGTAGAGTAGTTACTATAATAATTGACACAATAGATGAGAGCTTTGGCACAATAGATGGGTGCACCGACGATGAACATGGGCGAGTGGCCATAGGAACCGGACCCAAAATCATAACTAAAAGATACCGGAGGTTGACCTTGATGACGAGAAAGATGATGAAAATTTTCTACGTAGACAACAAAGGGTTCCTTTGAGAGATTATGACGAGTAGGAGGTGAGAGAGTGGTATGCGGATGGAGATTCCCGAATTTTATAGTACCCTTCAAGCAAAAAAGTTCTTGGACCGGTTGTTAATGGTGGAGAAGATTCTGGAGTTTAAAGAGGTTCTCGAGAATAAATGTGTATCTTAATAGCCATCGGATTTAGAAAGAGCGCAACGAGTTAGTGGGAAAAGTTGAAACCGATTCAAAACGGGATGGGTAAACCTAAGATTAATTCTTGGAAAAAATCAAAGAAGCACAAACCTACCGCTTTCTTACCAAACAACTTTCATAGGATGATATACTAATGATTACGAGGATTTGAGGTAGGGCAAGCCATTTAGTAGATGATTATACCATTGAATTCTACTAGTTGCTAGCCCAAAGCAAATTGTAAAAGATGAAGGATTAATTGGTGGCGAGATATATTGGTGGTCCGAAACCGTAGGTTAGGGATTTTGTTAATATGTTTAACCTTGTGTGTCTTTTTACCGCCTTTCAAAAAACACTACCGGTTGAAAAATAATCATGTTGAAGTAGCTTTATTGACCCTTTCTGCAAGGGAAGCGAGTAGTGACACAATTGGTGGTGGTAATGTGGTGCGAGGAGGAAAAAAGGTAGCAAAAACACCACGAGTTATTGGACGAGTAGCGAGGCGGTTAGTATCAATATAAAGTGCTTTGGGTATGGTGAAGTTGGCCACGGATAGTCCGAGTGTCAAAAGGTAAGGAAGAGACCACTTTTTGTTGATGCTAAAGATTATGATGAAGGTGATGTAAAGTTAACTAGTGATTCAATTTATGATGATAGAGATACCCTAAAAGAGGAGGTTATGATGGGCGATGAGGACATAACACTAGTCGTTAGGAGGTCCCGCTTGACTCTTAAAGTTGTTAATGATGATTGGTTAAGGAGTCATATTTTTTAGTCCACCTACACAATTTGAGGTAAGGTATGTCATTTTATCATTGATGCTAACGAGTTGTGAGAATATTATGTCTAATGAACTAGTGTAGAAACTAAATCTCAAAACAAAGAGGCACCCTAAGCCTTATAAGTCGGCCTAACTTAAAAAAGATGGAGAGGTAACTATTTCTTAACGAGCTTTAGTTTCTTTTTCTATTGATTTTAAGTATAAGGATGACATATGGTGTGATGTGGTTGCAATGGATGCATGTCATTTACAATTGGGTAGGCCTTGATAGTACGATATGAGTGTAATTCATGATGGGCGGCTAACACATATAGTTTTATGTTTAATGGGATAAAGATTGTACTTATACCTAGCAAAATCTCGAGTGTTTCCAAACTTGTAGGAGAAAATAGCAAATTGGTGTCGTTAGCTCGGTTTATGGAGATAATTAAGAAGATTAACCCCAATGTTTATCGCCTTAAGTCGCCTAGTCATATTCATACCGCGAGATGTTTTTAATGTTAAGCATTTGATTTCCTTTCGCAGTGACTCTTCCGATGATGATGATGCGAACAATTCGAGGGTGAATTTTCTCTTTCCTATAGGAAATCATACGGATCAACGGGTCTTGAAATTTATGGAATGATATGAACGTAGCAAAAGTTGAACAAAAACTGTCGACTCAATTTTAAGGTTTTTTGGACCTAGTTCGTTGTCAAACAAGCCAACGAGTAAAACTTATAAGCTATGCCTATGATGTATGAGTGATTTTGACCACAAAAAAAAAACATCATTTAGGCTCTCAAAATTAACTTTTACTATTTTTTAGGATTTTTCTTATTTTTGGGTTTTTAATATTTGTTTCTTTTTTGAATTGCTTTGGGGTTTTGATTGAATTTTTCTACTTATGTATGACTTGGAGGCTAAAAAACACAACTTTCTTTGATTAATAAAAGTTTATGAGAGAGTATCTCAAGTTTATCTTAATTTTTGACATTATTTGAATCAACGGAATTAAAACTTATGTTTTGATATTTGTGAGCAATTCAACGAAGTTATAGAAGACCGACATCCGAATTTCGGATCAATGGTATTTATATTCTTTCTTATTAGTTTCCGCTATGTCAATAAGGCGGACAACGAGTCATCCGCCTTATATCCATAATTTAACCAAACTTAATTTTAGTTTAACGTTTGAAGAAAATTTAAACGGCAACGATAATGACCAACTATGTTGACCTTTACATTTAATGCTAATTAAGAAAATTAGATCAATTTTATACGATGTTTAATATTTTGGGATTGAAATTATGTAATTTAGTACTATGATCCCAAATTACTAAATCCTAATAAATTGAGGATAAAAATTGCCGTTAAACCCTTTTTATAGGATAACGGTTTTAGGACAATCAGCACAAAAAAAAAAAAAAAAAAAAATTCTTGTGCAGAAACCATACCCTACATAAAAACAAAGTGATCGAAAGCAATGGCTCGTGCTGGTGTCAGCACGGGCTCAGCTTTGCACCAGAATGCCCATAATTGACCCACCATGCTGTCTCTTCCTCATAAATCATTATAAATCAAGTACAGTATTACTTGTTTCCAATTCAATACCATCTTCAAGAAATGGCCAATCCCAGATTGGCATTTGGTTCTTTTCAAATGATGATAGTATCAACTATCATTATTTTCTTCAATCTCTTTTTGGACAACAATGGTGTTTATGCTTCATCTCTAATGGACCCAGTTGCCCAGCAACAGCTAGACAGGGTCCGTCAGTTGCCTGGCCAGACCTTCGATCTCAGTTTTGCTCATTACTCTGGCTATGTCACTGTCAATGAAAAATTTGGGAAGGCTCTTTTTTACTGGTTTGTTGAAGCTGTGGAGGACCCTCAATCCAAGCCTCTTGTTCTTTGGCTTAATGGAGGTCAAACTTTTTCTTTAGTTTTTATCATTTCAATCATTTCTTGTGTGATTATATCGCTCTAAGTTAGTCTTGATTTTTCATTAATTTGTCACTATTCTGTTGCTTGTGCTGTTTCTTTACTTGTATGGATTAATTGTTTAAGAATCCAACTTTGACTTTAGATATAAAACCCATCACTACATAGTCTGTCACCTAGGACTATTATTAGCTTCTGCCCCTTGATATTCTTCCTTCTTTGTTGCCCGAATTAGATATTTGACTGATTTTCCCCTTAGATTCATCTTTCTTTGTTTTCAGGCTATGGAAAGTTGATAATTTGTTCATTAGGTGATAATCTCTAGTAGAATACAATCTGACCGGAGATTTGTTCTTGCAGGACCTGGATGTTCCTCCATAGCTTATGGAATGGCAGAGGAAATTGGCCCATTTCATATTAAGCCAGATGGAAAGTCCCTTTACTTGAATCCTTACTCTTGGAATCAAGGTAATACAATCTTTAATTATCGAAAAAACAATGAACAGCTTATATACTAGACTTTCCTGTCAAAGTGATTGTCGACAAGCTTATTGCCGTGTTGCTAAAAAGAACAATTAATGCACAATCAGTTGGATGAATCTATGGGCTCTGAATTATAAGGCACCAACCATGTGCAGTCCCTGAAAAATTAGAGTTAGTGCATCATGGACTCATTCGATTAGTTTTCGTTGGTTAAAATATGAACTATATCATCATATTTGAATTTTATCAACTATTTTTTTACAAGCTACCTTCATATCTTTCTCTGGAGATCCTTTACCATATTGTTTATTTCCTACTATTGATAATGCCATGGCTATAAGTATCAAGATAATATCTATAAATAGATGTTGCAGCTTATTTCCTCTTATTGATCACAAGGGAGTAATTGCATGATTTCGGCTTTAGATTTCAAGAATGCTAAACCATACTAATATGGATATTGCAGCTTATTTCCTCTTATTGATCACCAGGGAGTTATTGCATGATTTCGGCTTTAGATTTCAAGAATGCTAAACCATACTAATTTGTTATTATTACGTTGATTCAATCTTGTTTATGTACTTGTACCATTTTGCAGTTGCCAATATTTTGTTTCTCGATTCCCCTGTTGGTGTTGGTTATTCATATTCAAACACTTCTTCTGATGTGTTGAACAATGGTGATAAAAAGACCGGTACTAGTTCAACCATGTTATCTCATTCTTCTTCTTCGGGGTTCTTCCCGTTGTTGCTAGCTTGTGTACTTACACTTTTCCATACTGGCAGCTGCGGACTCACTAGCTTTCTTGCTGAATTGGTTTGAACGCTTCCCCCAATATAAAGGAAGGGATTTCTACATTACAGGGGAGAGCTATGCTGGTAGTTTATGATTTTCAATTTCCTTTTCTTTGAGGATTTTGCATCATATTCACTTTTTGATGGATGGCATAGACGGAATGAACTGGCTCCCCTGGGTCTGTTTTTCTAGCCACCTGATATGTGGGCCCTTTTTCTTTAGCTTCTGTTCCTGGCTAAAAATTAGATGGACCAAAGTTTTTGTCAGTATTTGTCTGAAAAAGTTTCTGAATAGAAGGATTTGATGAGTAACAAAAAGCATAGAATACTGTACTCATCCTCATTAATACTTGGAGGAGCCAAAGTAGAGGAAAGATAATCTTTCAGTCACAGTGAGACTGATTATCTTTGAATGTTGTCAACCAACCTAAACTGTTGCACTATGGATGCACAATTTTAATCACATAAGTTCTTCTACGAAGCAGAAGCTTGATTTTGAGAAGTCATCATTTGTAGAGGAACTACAGAGTACATAGGCTTTCCATTACTTGAGTTTTACCACCTTCTTCGAAATGGCTTGTGTGTAGCCCTCCTGAACTCACAAATTTGTTGATTTGCAATTTTTTTTGGTGGCATAAATAGTCATCTGGTGGAAAGGCATGAGTTACATAAAGTTCAAAATGCACTAGCAATAACAGCTGTAGCTTTATCTTCTCACGCTCTGTAGTTGACAAGAACACAACTTTTTTTTTTAAACGAGCTTATTATCTATCCTTCTGATTTGTGATGGCTTGTATGTTCTGAGTTCTGGTTCTATTTTTTAATTTGTGTTCCAGGGCATTATGTTCCTCAGCTGAGCCAAGCCATTGTATGGTACAATCGAGTGACAAAGGACAAGAAAATTAATCTGAGGGGTTATATGGTACATCCAAACACTATTATGTAATAATGGAGCTTTTTGGTCATATTTCATCATTTGAAATAATTAAAAGACCAAGTTCAACGTCTGTTACAGGTTGGAAATGCTCTGACTGATGATTATCATGACCACTTGGGAGTTTTCCAGTTTCTGTGGGCAGCTGGCTTGATTTCTGATCAAACATACAAGAAACTTAATTTTCTGTGTGATTTTGAATCATTTGTCCACATGTCAGATGCTTGTTATAAGATTCAGGAAATTGCAAGTGAAGAACTTGGAAACATTGATCCATACAGCATATTCACTCCTTCTTGCTCTGCCAATATTAGCCAGTCTAATTTGTTGCCGAAAAGAAAGCATGTGAGTGCTCACTTTATGAACTGATTACTGACTAAATTTTTTTCTACTTCCCGTGATTTGTTATCTAAAATGCATTGATGTAAGGGGATGTCGAAAATATCAATTTGTCTACTGGTTCCTGATCTCAGACAACCAGTACTTGCAAAGTTGGAACGAGCTCTTTTCAAATGCCATAGTTCCTGAGAAGTTTTGATCCCTCCCTCTCTATATATTTGTGCAAGTGCGCATGTGGATGCATGCAATTGCTGCTATTAGTGGTAATTCTAGAGAAGGGGTGGGGGCCTAGACTTGGGGGGACTAATTTTCCTCAAGGACCTTGTTACAAATCAAATGTGCACAAATTGATGCGTGAGCTTTTGGAAGGGAATAGGTGATGAATCCTTAAGCATGGGATTCTGATGAGAAATTTTTTATCCAATCTTTTCTCTTTCGGGGGAAGTTTTTCTAATTTGTATATGATATTCCACTTCATTGGATCCTGAGATATACCGCATTTTCTGGAGATACTTTAATTCATATGTCCTTAATAATAACAAGCTTACCTTGGAATAAATGTGCTAGATTTACTTGGATCTAGCTTGTTGATTGTCATTCCTTAGAGCTGTTGCACCTATATTGTTGGTATTGAAACTTATTGAATGTTCTATGAAAGTGTGTATATCTTCTGCCATTATAGTGGCCCCTTGACTTTTTTGGGGATTCAGTTTAGCATTCCTGTGAGGAAGCAAGAAATTCGCTGAGTCTGTGATTCCATTTATAATGCCATGGGATATTAAAACTTTCCCAGGGTTAACTAGTCTTTTATTGCTACTAGATTATCTTATTTTGCATAGCTTTTCTTCCAAGGCAGATTAAAAATCATCCAGGTCAATTGTTTCTCCAGCCTTCTTCGAAATTCCCCGATGCGTATATGATTTACAACTTCTCCGTGAACTTTTACATTTCAACTAATGCCTTCTCCATCTAGTCTAATAAATGCAAGTCCAGAACTCATTTCTTGGTCTTAAGATTCCTTTTGCATTTGGGTCATGTACTGTACATAACATAAATATGAGGATCTAAATTATATTCTTTGCTAAAAGGTCTGGGGAACATTTTCTTTCAGGTTAGGTTTGCGTAATTCGATACATTATTCTGTTTTTTTTTTTTTTTTTTTTTATAAATATGAATTAATCTTCCATAGAATACCATTAATTTTGGTTTCGCTTTCCACATGAAGAGTAAACGTAACTAACTGGAAATCAAATTTTTGAGACCATTTTGGAATAGGACTCCTTTATGCACTAATTCTTTATATAAATTTTCTTCGGAGCAGAAGTTAAATTTATTGTCTTGTGATAGATGGTTGGTCGTGTCGGTGAGAAGTATGATCCTTGTACTGAGGCACACTCAACTGTATATTTCAATCTACCTGAGGTCCAGAAGGCATTGCATGTTTCACCAGAGTTTGCACCAGCTAAATGGGAGACCTGCAGGTATATATGTTCAACTGACTAGTGAAATATCATTAGTTCCGAGTTACCTTGGTATCATAAACTTGTCCTCGGAAGAACATTGGGACTTCTTGCATTCTATTTAATTGTTTGAGAGCCAATTTCGTTCTGGTCAAGGACTAGGTTCCCCCACTTAATTGCACAGATATTAGAGGAGCAACATGCCCACATCATCTAGAATTGATTTTTGTAGGCTTGTGACAACTAACGATCAACATATGGCCAACCTGAACTTTCTGTGTTTACAACATTTCACCTGCATGGACTTTCCTGGTTTCATCATAATATTTCTAAGAGGCAGATTGTTTTTTTAGTGTAGTTAGCTGGACCCCTGTTTAATTGTAGATTAACGTGAGCCCAAAAATAATCCTTAGTGTGATTTGATGTTAATTCACAGCATAATAGCATGATCATACAAGAGTTGACAGTAATGTATTTGTATTAAAATTGTTTAATAAGGAAAAGTATAACATTCTGACCAAGACCATACAATGGAACTATTGCTTTCTTCTTGGTTATGTGCTATAGTAAGGTTCTATCCGTTCGAGTCTAGGTCTACCTTGTATGACACTGACTTAGTTATCTAATACTGTCATCCATCTTCCCTCATTTTGTGCACTCTGACTACCTTGATTGAAGTGCTGTAAATGTATGTCCTAGTAACATTCCATCTATTTGCTTATTCTTTTGCAGTGAAATGGTAAGTAGTAACTGGAAAGATTCTCCTAGGACTGTGCTGGATGTTTATCAAGAGCTCATACATTCAGGACTTCGCGTGTGGGTGTTCAGGTATCTCTGTGAAAACATTCTATATATTTAGTTCTTCAGTGTTGTTTTATGTGTAGATATCATCTTCTTTCTAATTGAGAGTTATCTGGAGGACCTCAGACCATGCAAGATCAAGATGATCTCCATCATATCAGGAGATAATATGGGCAAGAATGTATTCAAGCATTTCTCAGCAAATTCCCAATTGATATTCTTGCCATAGTCCTTAACGTGCCAAAATGACTAAAATCAACAAAATGGCAACCGACTGTTGCTTTCATTGCTACTGTTTTCACCTGTTCAAGAAACTGGCTCTAATTTTCTTTTGCTAATCCTAGAGGTTTTTTCTCTTTTTCTCCCTGTGCAACAGTGGTGATACAGATTCCATTATCCCAATTACATCCACCCGGTACAGTATAGATGCTCTGAAACTTCCTACTGTGAAACCTTGGCATGCCTGGTATGATGATGGACAGGTAAGTGACTTGATGGAACTGCATACCACTTTCCTTCTTTTATCTGTGTATTCTTACCTGATACTCCATGCAAGAGAATTCGTTCAATAAATGAAGAGGCATTTAGAAACTTTATTCCAAGTTGCCATTAATCTTTATTAAGGAGTATGATTTGTCAAACAGGTGGGTGGATGGACCCAAGAGTATGCTGGACTTACCTTTGTTTCGGTGAGAGGAGCAGGCCATGAAGTGCCGCTGCATAAACCCAAGCTAGCTCTCACACTCATCAAAGCATTCTTATCAGGAACTTCAATGCCAACCCTTCAACTAGTCAGCGACTCTTGATATCTCCTTCCTCATTTGATGCTTAATTCCAAGCTTCAAAGTATTTCAAGGGGATGTCATTTTTTTCCAGGTGGCTACATTTTACTTGCTTCATATCCAAGGTAACAACGCTGCAACCAGGGTGTAGATTAATGTTAATAACAACTCCCCCTCCAAAGAGAAGGGGCCAAGTTCAAACCCAAACCATCTCCAAAAATAATAAGTTATTTGGATGATACAATTAACTTGGATTAGGGAGATGAAACGTTAAGAATTTATTTCAGTTCTGCTTCTGCCTGCAAGTTGCTGCCTGCATTTTGCGACTGATGTTTCAATGTTGTTTTCGTGTCATGGAAAATTCAATTTTATTTTTTGGGTGCATTGGACAGAAAGGAAGAAACTAGAGTAGACATGAAAACAAAGAAGTGTCTCAGTTAATCAACAGGGTCACCTTGAGAAGCACCCAACTTGACCTTATATAGCATCACCACAACAAACCAAATGTTGCAAAAATCGCATCTAAAAAGACAATCCATCTCGTATTGTAATTGCAGTTCTCTTGTAATGTTAGATGGAGAAAAGTTTTGCTAGTGATGTGATGAAAAACATCACAACTTGAATGCTAGAATAAACAAAGTAACCAACTAAATTAACTAAAACATGTTGCAAAAAATCTCATTTAAAAAGTTTGTCTTTAACTTATGCAAATTTAAAAGCAACATACCATCTCGTTAGGTTGTCAAAAGATCTCGAAATCAGTCCCAATCAGAAGATGAAAGTGATTGCAAGCGGTTAGTAGCTTGTGCTGGTGTCCTTATAAAAAAAAGTACGGTACCTCTTACTCCAAGAAATGGCCAATCCCAGATGGCGATTGGTTGTTTCCAAATCTTTATTAATGCGGTAACTACTATGATCATTTTAGTCAATCTTGACGTGGGCAGCAATGGTGCTTTTTCTTCATCTTTAGGGGACCCAGTTGCCCACCAACAGCTAGAGAGGGTCCTAGAGCTGCTAGGCCAGACCTTCAACGTCAGTTTTCCTCACTGCTCTGGCCAAATTACTGCGAATGAAACATTTGGGAGGGATCTTTATAACTGGTTTGTTGAAGCTGTCGAGGACCCTCAGTCCAAGCTGTCTTCATATTACCTTCAATTGTCACTATTCTATTGCTTGTGCTGTTTCATTTCATTAGTTATATGCATAAATTGTTGGATTTAGATATAGAACCTGTTAACATGACTACCACATTAGCTTCTACGTTTTGATAATCTCCCTTCTTTTTTGGCCTGAATTAGATATATTCTATATAACTAAAAAAGTGAACGTTTCACTATTCTTGTGATTTTTTAGATTTTGATGGGTGAAAATTATACAATATTTTACAGTTTGATTCCCGATATTTTTGAACGAATATTTCGATCCACATCTTTATTTGCTAATCCATTTTGTTCTTTAGATGTAGAGAGAAAGGAGGGAGGAAGAGAGAGACAGGAGGAGCGAGAGATCGCTAGCCAAGCTTATTTAGGTCATTTTGATCGGTAAAAATCCATTAGATTTTTTTTATCTTTGAGAGATGAGTTTGTCCATGATGGTTTCAAGTCATTAAACAATTCAAGGAAGTAAATTGGAGTCAAAAAAGGAAAAAAAGTTCTGAGTTTAATTTTGTGTTTTTTTTTTTTTTTTGTAAATTAAAATGATGTTTAAAGTTTTAGATGTTTTTTATTGACTTTATTCTAATCATTTAGAAGTGTTGTGGGAAAAAAATGATGTCGGAATTCAATTTCTAAGAATCTGAAACTTGATCCTCGATTTTTCGACGAAAGTTCCGACAACCTTGAGAGAGAGAGAGGGTAAAAAAAAAAGGCCACGCTTGGTTGGCCTGTGCAGCCAAAACAAAAACAAAAACAAAATTGGAATGCAGTTTCTGTTACGTTCTAGTCAATTTTTAGAAGTCCTCGTAATTTGTTGTGGAACTGCTGAGCACAAAGGTTTCAATTGGTTGAGTTTTACTCACCTGCTTTGAAATGGGTTGTGGCTTGTGTGTAGCACTTCTGAACTCACAAATTTGTTTGTGAAAAACAGTTGTTGCTTTACCTTATCATGCTTTGAGGTTATCAAGTAACTTGTTTTAATAAACTTAGCTATACTTTTGATTTTTTTGATGTTGTGTGCTCTGAATTATGGTTCTAAAACTTCTAATCTGTGTTCCCCAGCTGAGCCAAGCCAAGCCATCGTATATATGGTACAACCAAGTAGCAAACGACAACAAAATTAATCTGAGGGGTATATCATACACCCAAACAACTATTCACGTAATTTCTGGTCATATTGTACCGTTTGAGATAATTAAAAGACCATGATTAACTTGTCATACAGGTGGGAAATCCTGTGATTGACGATTATCATGACCACCTGGGACTTCTCCAGTTTCTGTGGGCAGCTGGTTTGATTTCTGACCAAACATATGTCAAATCTGTTTACTGGTTCCTTATATCAGACAATGAGTACTTGCAATGTCAAATAGGGAATCTAATCTAATGCCATGGTTAAACTTTTCCAGAAGGACCTGTTCACAAATTGATGCATCCTCACATGTTTTCCTAATTTGTAAATGATATTCCACCTTATTAGATCCTGAGAGATACTGAGTGCTCTGGACGTACTCTTACCCATGTCCCCTTAATAGTACCAAGTTGATCGTGAAAATAAATTATCAGAAGTATTGATAACAAAAATAAATTTTAAATTTGATTTATAAGTCGATACTTACTTATTAATGTATTATTATCTTATGATTATATGGTTATCTGCATTTTTAATATCTTCTTAAAATTTTTATTTCAATTAATCAACCTTTAAAATAATTTAAAGCAACTCTCGGGCAGAAGTTTTCATTTATTTATTCATGTTGTCTTGTGGTCTGTGATTGTCACATGATTGACTGAAAATAATAATAGAAAACAAAGCAAAATTTAATTTTTTTCCTTTCAAAATCTAAGTATCTTTAATCAAATCAATATGAAAAATGTAAAATAAATTATTTTGAAATTAAACAAACCCTACCATCAATACATATTAAATCAATCCCCAATACTTGTTTTTACCCGATCATGAAATTTACACCACTAGCAGGTTTAACCCCTTTTGTTTAGAGTGAGGCAAGTTCTTTAGACTAAAAAGGATTTCAATTGCAAATTACATATAAACTTAAAATTAACAAAAATAATTTTCTAGCAATTTTATTGAATTCATTTAAAAATTTGGCTTTTAAAAGAAAAAAAAACTAATTAGTTATAAAACATCTTAAACTATTGGTTAAAATAAATAAATAAATTCAAAAAATAAAAAAAATCTCTAATTTTTTATTTTATTTATTAAAATCTTTATTTTTTAATGTGAGAATAATCAAGATGATATAAAAGATATATTAAACTATTAAAATAACAACCCATGTTTTAAAAGTTTTAAACCAAAACATGAATTGTTGTTTTATCACTTTACATATCTCTATAATATGTTTAATATGTTTTGAAATTAGTTATCTGCAAGAAAAAAAAATTAATTTCAAACAAAAATAAATTGAGAACCGAAATCTAAAAAAAAACAAAAATAAATTGGACCCCAAAAACTGCCTTTTTTTCATCAGGTTGGGAAACCCCTCTCTCTCGTCCCTCGTCTCCACTCTCGTCTGTAGTCTGTACCAGGAACAAAAACCTAAGAGAGAGCGAGAGCCAACCATATCAAGCCAAGCTGTGATTCTAACGGAGGGTCAAGATTTGTTGTCAGTAAGACATAAAGCCCATCGACGGCTTAACAAATCTTCATTTCAATCTCTTTTGCTCTGGTACGAAATCCTTGCTGCCATTGGTTTCTTGTAGCTGGGGCGGCGTCAAGCTAAGAGAATACTTTCTTCTGCTAGATTTTGTTTTCTTGATTCTTCAGCACCTTCAGCGAATATGGTGGTCTCCAGTATTAATCCCCACAACAAGGAGATATTAATTAGGAGAAGGATTACTAGCATGTAATTCTCCTCTTTCTGGGTTTTCTTCTTTGCCCTTGCTTATCTTTCGATGACATCGTTCTTTTTATGTTTACTCTTGTTTTTTTCTTTATTTCTTTCAATTATCGACACCATGTGATCAGTTATGAGGTTTAATAACGTGGGAATAAAAAGAATGGAAGATTTTCTTTTTCTTGCAAAGTTCTGCTTCAGCTTGTAATCTAATTAATTTTTTTTACTTTTTTCTTTCCAGTATGTCCGTAGTAGTATTGTTTTTAGCATATATGTTGCAGATGATAATTCAAAGTTGAACTGTTTTATAGATTTAATAAGCGAGAAGAGGATTTTCCGTCTTTGAAGGAATACAATGATTACTTGGAGGAAGTGGAGGATATGAGTAAGTGTTTTTGCAATTGATTTTGAGGATTGTTTTCAATTTAACATTTTATCTTGACAAGAAAAAGTATTGTTACAACAGTATTTAACTTGGTCGCTGGAGTTGATGTCACTGCTATCGAGGAAAAAATTGCAGAGTATGAAAAAGAAAATGCAGATCTAATATTGATTAATCAAGCTCGGAAGGTACTTTTAGGAATTCTTTTATTTTTATTTTTAAAGGGACAAGGCAATATGCGAAATGCATACCGCATATCACCATTTCAAAAATATGTAGATTGTTTCTCGGAGAATTTACTCAGGTGTAACTTATTCTGATTAACAGGCTGAAGAATTAGCCTTAGCTATGGCAGCAAGCAAGGGGCCTCCTGCACAAACTGATAATACTGATGGGGTGAGAATATAATGAGTTTTTATTTTTATTTTTATCTGGCATATCTTTTTAAAAAAAGAAAAAAGAAAAAAAGAAAACCCTTTTGAAGGCTCTTATTGATTCTTCCTATTCTATTATAAATTTCATTGTGGTTTGAAGGCTCTTATTGATTCTTCATATTCTTCCTATTCTATTATATTTCATCTGCATGTCTGACTGTAATTTAATTAACCGTGTAAATTTACTCCTCAAGTTGAGTCCTTGTGTTTTTTTCTTTCGGTTATTGGTAAATCCATCAGGCAATCTATAAATGATATCCATATGCAATTATACATGTTATTTTATGATCATGTAGCTGTGATTGTGAACAAAGATTGGAGTTAAGGAGGCATACCCAGGAGTTTAAAGGTGCCAATTTAAGCTTAATAATAGTAGTGAACTAAATGCACGATTTAAGCTATGCCAGGAACAGAGGGGGTCTGCTAGCCCCAACAAAGTGAAGATGTTAGAGTTTGTCTATTTCTGATACCTAGCATCTGTCATATTAATGTAGAGGAACATCGAGGAGAACATTACCCATAGAATCAAAGTGGGGTGGTTTATTTGAAGTAGTTCTGTCATGTAATTGAAATCTTTACTAGTTTAAAGATATGCTAACAGCAATTAGACTGGCTATTCTACAATATGGAGGTTGGTGGTATAGAGATTTCATAAATGAGGATGGCTACGCTATGATGGATGCGTGAAAACACAAGAAAGGACGAGTTTAGAATAGTTGCCTTTTTGGATGGTGAAGATGCCATCGATTGAGTACAAGTTGAGGGAGGGTCATGTAATTAGATTTGGCCTTATCTGACATTAACTTCTGGATGCATAATGGGAAAGAGTAACTAATTAATGGAAAAGAGGAGCCAGATAGGAGAGGTTGGCAAATAATAACATTGACTAAAAAGCTAAAGGAAAATTATAGCTTCCCAATAGCTTACAGACCTATAATCCATGACTGCAGTAATTGGAGGAGGTAGTAGATCATGTGATTGACCTGATTAGTTTGGAATTGAGACATATTGGATTTGAGTGCAACATGAATTTTGCTGGTATAATTGTAAAAGGTGCTCGTATAATAACCATTCTTCTAATTTGTTACTCCTACTTTGCTACTTCAACTTGCTGCTTTGTGCCGTATGAGGTTGATGTGGTAGAATTTCAGTTTATTGAAATTTGAATTCGGTTCAAATTAATTATTAACCTCGACGGTGCTATTAAGATTGTAACTGTATAGCATAGAATAGTGTGTCAAATCTTTAATCTAAAATGAAACCAGTAGCAAGTGCTGAAAAAAGTAAAAGTTGGTGTAATCTTTATCTTTGTAAATTAGCTTCTGAAAAAAAAAAAAAAAAACCAGATAGAGAGAGAGAGAGAGAGAAGAAAATTAGTGACAAATTGAGTTGATTCTAGGCCAAAATAGTTTTAATCACAATTGTGCCTTTTCAAGTTGAAAGAGACAACAGTTGTCCACATAACTTTGTTCAAGTGAGAGTGGACAGCTCTTCACTGTTATTATTTATAATGGTCACCAAGTAGCAATAAGAATGCTTTTCAGGATCCACATAGCTTATGCATATGACTTCAGTGTTAAGATTTATTTTTCTTAATGCCCTACTAGAACGGATACTGTTTTAATGGGTTAGAGTACTTTTGTTGATCTTAATTGACTCTTGTAATCATTTGTTGTCGAAAGCACCAAATTAAATGTTTGCATATTTATAATATGTTAATAAATGTCTCTCTGAAGGGGAGGATGCTATCAGGTTAAGTCCCTTGAATTAATATTCTTTTTGGAGTTTAGACTTAAAACTTAAAGTTGTAGAAGTGCAGTCCAACATTGTCAAAATATGGAATAAATAACCAGTAACTTATATTGATGATTGGCAACTGGCAACAGCAGTATGATTTTCTTGAGATAAAAAAAGGAATTACCCTGCTTTCTATTTGGCAATTACGATGAAAATTTAGTTGCTTTGGAACTGAAGAAGTAAGTAACCCTTTTCAAGGTTGAATTCAGACGCCTGGAAAGTTTGTTTTATTGTCTCAAGTCATATGTTTGTTAGTCCTTGGAATGTCCATGTCGCCCCCTCTCCCCTGATCAATTTCAGTTTTGTCTATTTGTCGAAGCAGAGCTCCCAGGGAGGCATCAGTGTTGAAGCTGGGCAGTATGCACCTACAATTGCTGGAGGGCAGCCACGGCCGATAGGCATTGCTCCACAACCAGTGCCTGTCAGAGGAGGGCCTGACATGCATGGCCGATATGCAGAAGATGAGGAAACGATGAGGATCCGAACAGAGAGAGCTAATAGGGCAGCTGGGTGGAGCATAGAGTTCAGCAAGAAAAGGGCATTGGAGGAGGCCTTTGCAAGCATTTGCGTTTAGATTGTACCACTTGGTTTGAGATGGATTGTCAATTTTCCCCTTATAGGACATCTTTGTTAAAGCAACGGGTTTTTGAGGCCTTCGGCATGGAATTATTACGGTGTAAATTATTTTGCATCTTGTGTTCGGTTGTCGGAACTCGGAAGTCAATACTCAGTGGCTTTACAAGATGGATTAATGAACCGATCCAACAGAACTATCCTCTCATCCTTGCTATCTCTAGTTGGGGTCAAATCAATGGTTGATCAAGCTCTTGTCTTCACAAGCTAATTTCTGAGTAAAAATATGTTTAGTTAGGTAAAACAGTTTATTATGATTCAATTTTTGGGCATAATTTCAATGAATCTGATTCAATACAAAATCTTATGAACGTTAAATCTATTCAAATTGTGGCTTTGGGCTGTAATTTGAAAATAGTAAGATTGATCGATGGGTGGGTCCATTTGAGTATCTACCGTGAAGGAATGAATACATCTTGATGGCTTCTTCCTCCTCTTCTTGTGTGATCGAGGAAGCTCAAGCCCCAAAGATTCGAGTTTTCAAGTGGAATGAGAAGTTGAGAAAGGATTGTCATCTACAATTTGTGGATAAAGGTCTCTTCCTTTCGACAATCAAGAGTCATTTTAACACCATTCCTCTCTTAGCACATCCTTTCATCCTCTGCCCAATTCCTTCCTAACACCATTCCTCCCTTAGCACTTGAAATCTCTGATTATCTTACCTGGTGCTTTCGCTTTCAACGTGACGCCCTAATCACTCCTTCCAACTCTCTTATCACCGTCTTTGTTGCTGAAATCTCTAGAACTACGACGGTAGAAAATGCTGATGAAACTGCCTCTTCTCTTTTTCCTCCTCCATGGGTTTATCCAAGTCCCCTTGATGATGATTTGAGAAACATGGATGTGGACTGCGATCCTTCTTGGTATTATGACAAACATTGTGTGGACTCTAAGGAATTCAATGGGTGTGTGCATGACATTTTCCCAGTCAAGCCCATTGCTGTTGACCAACCCATTGGCCTTGTTCAAGTTTTACCTGAGACTGCTCTCCAGATTCTCCATCCGTTGGAAGATGATGGCCGCCGCGAGATGCTGGACGATTGCCCTATTTGCTTGGAAGACTTTTCATCGTCTGCTGCTGCTGATGTCATCTTGAAGACGCCTTGCTCCCATATCTTCCATGACAAATGCATTAGGCAGTGGCTGTCCAAGAGCCATTCATGTCCCATGTGTCGATTTGTGCTAACTTGATTCCATTACCTAGCTTATCTTTCTATTGTTGCCTTTTAATCTTACTTTGTAACCTAGGATTAGCTACCAATGTGCAATTGTTTTATTAACTGTCAGAGGATGGTGTTCTGTTCAAGTTAGACAGAGTAATTCTAGTCTAGGAGTTCAAGCTAGACAGATTCCTAGATGATAAGTGAATATGCTCATAGACCCAAGTTTCAACTCACAAGAGGCAGGATTTTCTGCTTCTAGCAAGAAGGTTTCTAATTATCTATGTAGTGTTTCCTAGTTTTCGTGTTCAAAGCATTAGCTCTTGAGACTAATTTGATGGGTTTTCGTTGGTTTTCTGTTTGTTTATTTCAAATGAAGTAAAGTCTGAATCCTTTTTGCTTATTTCTAGTCCCTTTTGTGTTAATTTTGCTTCAGTACTGCATGTTTTAAAGCATTAATTTTTGTTCCTAGTTGAAGCTTGGAAACAGTAAATAATACGTTTTCTATTAGTTCTGCCTTTTTCTTCTGATTATGAAAATCTTAGTGGTTGTTCTTCTTTTTTTTTTTTTTTTCTCCCCTTTAATGAAATTCTTCTGTTATTTTTCCCTTTAATAAAATTGTGCAGGTTTTTTCACTTGCTCGCTTATTATGTTGCCTGTTGGGATTGTAAAATGCAATGGAATAAAGGCCAGTTAACCTCTTCAAAGTAATGTTTTTCATAAAATTATTATTATTCCAAATTATGGAATATGTGTAAAATCGACACTAGGTAATGGAATCAAATTATGGAACTTGATCGCTTATAATAATCTTTTATTTAATTATTATTTTTTAAAATGTTTTTTCATAAAATTTCTACTTAAAAAAACGATTTATTCTTCTTTATTTATTAATTTTTAAATAAAAACTTATAATAATTTAAACTGAAATATTAATTAAGAATTCAAAAGGATATACTTTAAAAATGTATATTTTTTATAAGACTGTATTCAAAAAATAAAATTATAATTAATGTATAGACTTGCATAAAAATTAACTAATAAAAAAATAAATTTTATTCTTATTTAATATTAATGGAAAGATCTTTTTTTTTTTTAAAACACATGCATTTGATCTATATATATTTATTTACAAAGTAACCAATAATTTTAACATAAAAAACTGTATTCGAATAATTGATCTGGTTCCTTTAAAAATTTATTTTAATTTTTTTATTTCAAATAAATTGTTCTATAATTTTTTTAAAAATATTTATCATAAATAATTTATATTATATACAAAGAAGTAAAGTTAATTTTTTAATAAAAACTCGATGATTCTAAAATAACATATTAAATAACCATCTTAATTTAAAAAATTAAGTTGTAAACTTGTATTAGGGACCAGGCCAGTGCGCCTAGGACTGGAAGATAGGAAAAGACGAAAAGAAGAGATGGATCCTTCATTCATTATGAGCATCCATCCATTCTACATAACAAGTCAAACATCTCTTTCATCCCTCCAAACTAATCCATCTACCCTTCTTTCCTTCGTAACGAGTCGTCAAATTATTCCCACCAGCCAAAGAAGCAACCAAGGACAAATTACTTCAATTCCCAAATCACCCGATGAGCTAGTGGTGAAACCATTTGGTCCACTACCACAGGACCTCAGAAGTGCAAGAGCAAGCAGCTCATCCCAGGGTTAATCTGATTACCACCAAATTGCAAACAAGCCTTTCCTCTCAACAAGGCTTCTCAATCAAAATAAAGGAAGCTAAAAGAATCAAATAAAAAGGACAAAGGTCTAAAATGATCCTGCATTTTTTAGGCAACTTTGATTTTCACCGAAAATGTCGTTGAAAAGCCGAGTTTCCTAATTTCAGCCTCCTTAAGCCTAATTGAGCCTTATTTAAAAACATTTCTCAAAATCACAAAAATAACATCAAAAAACTCTTTTAGAACATCAAAACATATTTTAATTCATAAAAAACATACAAAAAATCAAATAAAAAAAACTGAAAATATTTTTAGATGCTGATTTACTTATTCCGATCATTTCATCGTTTTCCACCACTATAAACGAATTCTACTTGTTGAGTCAAACAAAATGATGATAAGTTCGACTGTAAGAATGATTGAAACCGATATCCTCAATCCTCTCTCTCCCCTCTATTCTCTCTCTCTCCCCCTCATCGCATTTCTCTCTTCTCCAAGTATGCAAGACCAAAATGAAAGAAAAATAAAATTATAGACTGAAAAAAAATAGTTACAACATTAGGTACGAAAATAGAAAAATTGTTAAATTTTATATAATGTCCAAAAATACAAGAAAAATAACTAAAAGACCACACCAAAAAATTACGTAAATTGCCATCCAATGAAAAGTGAATTAACGCTTGTGAACAGATGGAAACAGTGAAAATCTCTCTCTTCTTTTTTATTTTATTATTTTTTTTCGGTAATATGTTCTTTATTTTCATCACATGCTATGAAATAGTTAGTGAAACAACAACAATTTCCCTCTACTTTTTTATTCGTTGTTTTTATAACGTCCTGACCTGCAAAAGAAAGCGGGACGGGCTTGGATTGGGCTCTTAAAGCCTGGATGGGTAGCCCAAGTTGGTATTTGAAATTTAAAATTTAGAATCCCATAGCCCATAGCACAGCTGTAGTAAGGATTTCTTGTGAATCACTATCAGTATTAGAAACGGAAACAACTAATTACAAATTATATAATAAAAATTACTATAAATTCAAAGAGTCTTCCTGTCTGTTATTCATTGAGAATTCAATTGAGAGATGGGTGCTTCTGTAATCGAGGAAACCAAGGTTACAAAAATCCGAGTTTTCAAGTGGAATGAGAAGCTGCGAAACAATCGTCATCTAGTCTTTATGGATCAAGGTCTCTTTCTTTTGATCACCAAGAGCTACTTCAACAATGGCGGCACCGTTCAAATCAAGAAAGGACTTTCTGAAAAGGCTAGCTTCTTTGAACTCGCTTCTTTGCTATCACCCGACGCCATCAAATCTACGGTCACCCGCATGCTTTCCTCCTCTGCCCAATTCCGTCCTAACACCATTCCTGCCTTGGCGCTTCAAATTTCCGACCAACTTACCACTAGCTTTCGCTTTCAACGCCACACCCGATCAACTGCCTCCAACTCTCCTATCACTGTCGTTGTTGCTGAAATTTCAAGAACTCTGACCGTACAGAATGTATGCAAGCCATGCTGCCTCTTCTTTCTTTCCTCTGCAATCTATTTATAGAATTCCCCCTCGCGATTTTGAGGATATGGATGTGGATTTCACAAGCATTGTGTCCATTCTGAGGAATTCCGTGGCTGTGCAAATTTTACCACCCAAACCCATCGCTGTCGACCAACCCATTGGCCTTGTTCAAGTTTTACCTGAGAATGCTCTGCCGATTGTTCATCCGTTTGCAGATGGCCTCGGCGACATGGTGGGTGCTTGCCCTATTTGCTTGAGAGATTTTTCACTTTCTGCTTCTGATGATGTCATCTTGAAGACACCTTGCTCGCATCTCTTCCATGGAAAATGCATTAGACGGTGGCTGTCTAGGAGCCTTTCTTGTCCCATGTGTCGATTTCTGTTAACTTGATTTCGTAAACTAGGATTACTTAGCAATCTGTTTAGTTTTCTGTAATTAAAGTGTCTGATGCGATGAGTATCTAATTATACCTTTTATTTGGGTTTATATTACTAATCTTTACGTTCTTTCTATTGCTTTCAAGTTGTTCTTGTTTGTGAATATTTATGTTGGGATATTTCTGGTAGCTTCAATTTTTTAGATTTTCTTAGGTTAATCTTTTAAGATTGACACTTGTTTTCTTTTCTGTTGTTTCTTGTTTTACCATTATTGGTCAATGTTGTTTACCATGATTTTCTGTTCATCAGTTATTGAAATAGTATGCTGTTGTTTTATTGCATTACATATCAGAGAATGTATGATATTATGATATTCTAGTCTTAGGTGTTCAAACTAGACAGTATTGATTGTATAGATTTTGTATATTTAGCTAATGGGTAAGGAATGCCTTATCATGATCATTAACTTCTTCTTCTTCTTCTTCTTCTTTTCTTCTTTTTTCACGTAAATTGAGGGATGTTCAAAACATTCTCCACAGCAAATGCATGGTTACCAATTTTCGATTAATTGAAAATGTATCAGCTTCAAAGTTGAGTATCAAAACTGTCTGCGTGAGAAAATAGTGAGATATTTGCTATTTTTTCAATAATAAACTTTGTGCAATTAGTTTGAGCATCTTTGTGGCAGACAATTCAATGTTTTTCTATCTATAGATTCAGTAAAGCAGAAGAGGATTTCAGTAGTTGAGACAAAGAAAAAAGAACGTGAAGGAGCGCACTGAGAACAGCTTTAATGATGGCCGAACAGGTAGTCGAAGCAACTGGAGGACCCTGATCGAGAGCGGAATGAGAGTGCTTTGCATATCAAGGGAGAGGTTGAGAGAACAATTAGTTTTGTGGGTGGGTGGGTGGGTGGATGAATTAGTGTTGTTAAAAGTGCAAATTAGATATTAAGTGAGTTATGAGTTTAATTTAAAAAAAAAATAACAACAACTGTCAGCTATTATTCATTATATTTAATCAGCCACGTGTGTTTTACACTTTCACATACACATTTTCTATCATCTTTAATAGAAATAATATTAGGTAGATTTGATTTCAAAACTTCTAAAGTTCAAGAATCTCTAGAGCTAATAAAAAATTTCGAAACTCAACTTCAAATGACTTAAAATTCAGAAATTGTTAGATCCTTTTAGCCAATAATAATAATAATAATAATAATAATAATAAATAAGGACCTTGTTGTGATAAAAAATAAATTTAGGAGACCATTATAAGTACTTGAAGGACCAAAGTATAAAAATGTGTATAAATTTTTTTTAAAAAATCATTTTAGCATGATAGTTCATGTCTTGTTATGGTTTTATCAAAGCATATCAAATCAAAGGTAATATGTATATATATATATATTTTTAATCAAAATCTTGTATTTGATTAATTTTTCTTTGTATTTTCATATTGTTTCTGCTCAAAAAAATATGATTCATTTTTACTTATGCAATGATTCTTATATAAAAGCTTGTAATAATATAAATTGAAAATTTTATCCAAAATTTTAAAAACAAGCCATCAAAATAAATTTTTCATAAGATTTTATTAGAAAATGAATTTTTTTATTTAATGCTGATGATAAGATTATTTTTTTAAGATTATGTAAATTTGATTTATATACATTTATTCACAATATAATTAATAATGTTAGTATAAAAATTTGTATTTGAATCATTTGATAGTTCTTTTAAAATATTATTTTAATTATTTTATTTCAAAAAATATATATTTTTATGATATTTAAAAAATAATAGTAAATGGTTGGTGTTGTGTGTATAGATACATAGTAATTTTTTTTAAAATTGGTGATATAATATTTGTTTTCATACATCATGATTATACCTAGTAGATTGAGAGTGTACAGTATAAACTGTAAAATATTAAAAAAAAAACTCAAAAACAAATTATCTAAAATACACTCTTAATCTTTACATTGAACAGTATATTTATAATCATGTGACCATTATATAAAAATTCTACGAATTCATAATATAAATTATATAATGGTTTTTTTTAAAAATCGTGTTCTAAAAAAATATTCCAAAATACATATATAATATATAGAGAAAATAAATCAGATTTATCAGTAAATAAAATTTTATAATAAATAAAAATAAAAATTCATTTGATGAGAATTTTCATTAAAAGTGAGAAATTGAAGGAATGAATTTAAATAATAAAAGTAATATAATATGAAATATATGTTCATTTTAAAGGAAAACATAAAAAATAACATTTGATCTTTCATAATCTTTTCTTTAAAATTCTCAATAAAAAATTTAAACAAATTATCGAAAAAAAAAAAACCCGGCTAAAGCACATCCCCGCACACTACGGTCTTGGTTTCAAGCCCGAGTGCTTGGGCCTACTTTCTGACAACGTGTCATTCGTCTCTAATTTCTATCCAGCTTTGACAGATCAAAAAAATGTGTCAGAAAAACGAAATTTGAAGGTTCTTGGCCTTATCAACCCAAATTCAGCATCCTAAAAAAAAAAAAAAACAATCTCAAAATCTCAAAAATAAAGCCTATAAACTCCTTTAGAGTCTCAAAATCTATTTCAATACACAGAAGATACATCAAAATTCAAATCAATATAAAAATTTTCAAAAATTTTAGATTTTCAATCTATCTCTTCTGTTACATGATTTGTAATCACTATCAACATATTATTCTCTCAAAGATGAACAAATTAAAGGTAGTTTCGATCCGTTAAAGTAGCTAAAATAGGCATCACCAATTCAGTCTCTCTCTCTCTTTCTCTCACTCTGTTTCTCCCTCTTGTGGACAACTAAAGATTAGAATGAAAAGGAAATGAAGTTCTAGACCAAAGCAAAAGGTTCCTAAAATTGGAGGACCAAAGTTAAACTTTTTCGCAAAACAGTTTATACGTACATCGTAAATGAGCATGAATCCATGGCGATATTGACTGCTCGCCTGTAGTCAAACGCACATTAACTGATGGTTTTCTTTTAGTGATTTTTGTAATATAATAACATGCTGCCTCAATTTCAGTTGTCTACCACATTTCATAGCTTTTTTATTTTTTTTAATCTCAAATAGTAATAAAATCCTATAAGGATAATTTTAATGAATCATCTCCAATATAACTGCCAAAAGATGCTTTTGAAACCACATTATGTTGATTAACAAGGTGCATAATTTACGGCTGCAGAGTGAAGACTTGCGAGTCTTTAAAATGAAACTTCATCCCCTTTATCCAGTTGAAGTATAGAGATGACAGAACGCAGAGCAGAGTCATATGGAATAAAAATAATCCCATTCTCAGGGAAGCTAACATTGTACTCTGATGAAACAAACTTCCATTCGATCATGTAGGGAAATCTTTTACATGGGTTGCCAATGGGCATATTAAAATTACATGTAGCTTGGTCCCCGCTATGTGACAGGATCTTCTCTCCTATGCTTGTATATGTACAGAAGAAATGGTACATGATAAAGGAAAAAAGAACAACCAAAATAAGATTTACTTGATCTTACAACAATCAAGTCACCTAATTTCTCGTGATCTGCTCACAGCACAAGGAAAAAAATGCTGCAAGTACTAACTATCCGCTTATATACCTTCGCTAGAACGATCGATCCATGATCATGTAGCCCTCTAAATGAGTCTCCAGAAATTACCATGAATAGGTATCCGACACTCTTGTAATCCAACCATATCTAGAGTTTCCCTCTGTGTGTACATGAATGTGCCAGTTGGGTGGTTTCATCCTCTGAGCTAGAAATGGCCCTTCCTGGTTTGATCACAATTACAGTGCAAGGACTGTTTCTTGTGAAAATCTTCGAGATCTTAGACTTGCCAATGGCACCAGGCATCTCTTCACCACCTTTACTGCCCTTCAAACATTCGGCTTAATTCTGCACAATATGCCTGAAACTCTTGACAACTTCATATGGTCAAGTAGCAATATGCTGATATGATGCTTCAGATTTGCATTTGACAAAGATTCAGTTGAAGAAGTACGGAGATCTAAGAACTTCTTGCAGGTCAAAGTTGCCTCTCTCAGGCAAAGGTGGAAACTTCAATGTTGGATATGATGTCTGGAAGTCTTCAAGTAACTGGGGATAATCCAAGTTATTATATAGGTCAACAATACTAGTACAAAGTACAAAAAAAAAAAAAGTACAGTAATAATTGAGTTGACTTGTATTTGACAAACAAAAAGGAGAAACTAATGCCAAGCAGTTATCACTGGCTATTTGGAGAAGCTGGAAGAAGCCATTTCATATATAGAGGCCTTTTATCTAAGTTGCATGGTTGAGGATCCTTTTCTTTTTGTTAATTGTTCCTTTCCTTTTAAAGATCAATTCATTGTGTATTCCTAGAAAAGGCCAAGCAATCCCCTAGAAATTACTCGCTAGGCACACAGTAATTCATAGTTCCCCTTGAAGTGCTCACTTAATAGGTTACGTTGGTAAGACAGAAAAACTAGATCATCACGCATCACTGCACTTACATTTTCAAGTATTGGCATGTTATAAAGCTCCACAAATTTTTCCCGCAATATCTTATTCATCAAATCCACGTCTCTTGCATGTGTCCAGAAAGAGTCATGAACACCTGCACAAGGAGATTCACTTCATAAGAACGTGGGGATTACAGATGATAAAGTATTATGATAGTTGGAAACTATATAATGACAAAATTAACTTTGATACACTACTTTTTGTACTTTAGTAGCACTTCTGTTTTCTCAACTCAAGTTTACCAGGAGTAATTACTACATCTTTTGAAACTGTACTATCAGAGCCTCGTAAGTAACCATTTCTTATCCCGAAGGCCTCGTAGCACATTTATTTGCAAGTCAAACAAGATGAATAATAGCCCTCTGTATATGTGATTTTTGCACTAATGGTAACATGGTAAAAGTTTAAAAGAAATCGAAGTTTAAGGGAAGAAAGGATGACTAGCAAGGGAACTGAAGAAGTTGGTGCATCATAGTAGCAGTAAACTCACAAAAAAATAGCAGTCTCTGATAATATAATGACTTGCACTAATGGTAACATGGTAAAAGTTTAAAAGAAATCGAAGTTTAAGGGCATAAAGGATGACTAGCAAGGGAACTGAAGAAGTTGGTGCATCATAGTAGCAGTAAACTCGCAGAAACTAGCAGTCTACGGAACAAGCTCCAACTAAAAACTGTAATTAATGCAGGCATCCAGTAGGGCTAAACGGGCTTAGTTACAGAGATATGAAGAATTTAGTACCACCCTTAATTTTTCAGAGTTGTATCAAAGTTACTAGAATAAAGGACAACTTCTCATAAAAAACAACCCCAAATGTACGTTCTGCTAAGTTTAAATTAGCAACTTTAGAAAGCCTAATGGACAAAACAGAATAAATTGCTTAAATGCTTGCCAAGTTCAAGCCAAATGTCATAATGTCAAAGTTCGATTGGTCAGCCAAACTTCAATTATCGAAAAACAGTAGAATATTAATTCCTGCCACATTTTGTTTGCAACAAACAGAACAAGTTGAAACTTGAATAAAAAGTGAGCCCAACTATAAAAGGTAATGATGTAAACAATAGCTTTACATGGACTGTTTAAAAAATTCACATTCTTTAACTTCATCAATTATTAAATACATGAAAGGCTTCTAGCCTTCTACACCACATCAATAAGTTAGTTCCAGCCTACTTACTAGGTTTAAGCTTCATGTACTAAAGACTGTAAGACAAACCTGCAAAACGTAAATCAGCATCCCTGCATGCAACAGCAGTCATCATCATGTGGGAGCCGTCAAGCGAGTGCACAAAATTTGGAGGAAAAGCAGTTCTCTGTTTCCTAACCTGTACCTGATATTGATAGTATGATAATGTTTTAATGTGGGAGCATGAAATATTAGAAAGAAAAGAGGAACTGAAAGCAAGACAACAGAGTAAAGCTTACCGAACTGCCTTCCCGTTGCAAGGCCAAAACCTGAAGTGAAGTTCTTATCTGCAACACCAAATTTAGTTACCTAACTGTTTTATTTACCACAAGAAAGAGGGCAGGAATGCAGAGAACATAAATTTCATGCTGATTTTTTGTGCAGGAGAAAAAACTTAAAATAAATATCATGCCATTCATTTCTTGTGATATTTAATGTCATAATCACGAGGCATGAGTCCATAGCCAACCAATGGTTTCCCCACTACAAATTTTCTCCAGTGCAGTGAGCAAGGATCCCACCAGAGTTTTCTTAAAGGATCTTTACCATGACCCAAAAAAATCCTATCTATTGTCATATTTTAACCAACAATTTCATATTTCCTTTACCAGCAATAAAGAGTTCAATGAATAAACATGTTAAAAGTAAGAACTCCATGAAAGCAAGGAATCTGTCATACTGGTATCTTAATCTATAGCAGCCTGCACCAAATAAATTAAAAATGCAGCAAGGATTTAATACTTACAAGATGTCGTTCGCTCTTATAGTACGGCTGCACGACAGGAAGACCTAGTGGAGTTGTCCACCGAACAGGCTGATCTTCTGAAGCAATAACCTATATAATAGGTTCATTGTCAAGCAATAAAATACATTTGAATAAAATGTTACTATTAATTAATATAAGGGTGGTCCATGTAATTTCACTGCCAAATGTGACAGACGCATACCTTTGCACAATCACCAAGCCAGCCCATTATATTGCGTGCAGCTTGGAACAGCTCTCCTAGTGCAGTCAATGTCACCTATGGAAGAGTCAGTAAATTTGAGAATGATCCAACTACATTAAGGATCTCCTCATAATTTTAGGTGCCTACAGTGAGATGAACATGTGATCCACGGCATAAATTACACATGGCTAAAATACATCAGGATTAGAATCTCTCACATTAGTTGACATTAGATTCTGTCATCAACATTTTCTAGAAATCAAGTCCACTTAAGTTAGCATATCCTAGAACAGCCATAATACTATCCTTATAAACAGGCTGGAATCTTGATGCTTACTTTAGCGGCATAACAGGCTGCACTGAAGAGCAGTCTATCATCTGTGATATGACCCTTCTCCTCTAACCTTCTTTTTATCTGTTCGCGTGCCCCAACATAAGTGACACCATACACTGAGGTCATCACTGTTTGTTTAACCAATTTGCGATCCACCTGAAAAGCTTCCAAAATGTTAGACTTGATCAAAAGAAGTCGAGAAGTAAATCTTGCTTTTATTAATAATAATAATAATAATAATCCATCAAGCTTCATTATGTGGGAGGATGACTTATCATTGTAGTTCTTATTCACTTTTAGAAGAATTTTCTCTTATCTAAAAACATTGATAATCCAGAGTAAGAAAAGAAAGAATAACCTGATCAATTAGGACCTTGGCTAATAAAGCATGTGGGTTTGTAGCAGGATCCTTATTACTGTCTCTTCTAATTATTTCATGGACCCTGTCACCAAAAATCTTCAGTCTCATTTTCTGCAAATATAAATATCAAATGCACACATACAAATAGTGCAATAAAGACATGCACAGTTGTGCAGAAATAAAAACATAGTTTACAGCATTTTAATGTTCTGTAGAGAAAATTACAATACCTAGCAGCAATTTCTGAATAAACATCTGAAGGTTTCTCTGCAGCGACTAAGTTAACTGCTGCTGCTTCCAGCTGGAAAACACCAGAAGATGTGAATGCATAACTTCAGTTCAAATCAACCAGAAAAGTAGAAAATATTTATATTAAAAAATGCAAGAGAATAGATGGTGTATCGCACAGCTTATAAACAGCAGTCTATTTTGAACCAATTCTGATTCCCTGCATCAGAGAGAATACTCGAAATTTTATCATTGTATAATTATAATATCCAAGTTCACCACTGGATCATAAATGGTTTTGGGAGGGCCAAAAGAAGGATTTCAGGTATTCATGGATGCAGTTTTGATCAATCAAGTTTTGGATAGCATGCCTTAAAATTATGAATGAATCAGCAAAATGGTGAAAAAATAAATTTCAATTTTGGTTATTTTCAGCGTTCCACATTTTCTAAGGAGATGGGAAAGGAATGAGCCAAGGTGGCTAAAGGAATTGGTGACAAGTAATATGAGTACATGAGTAACATGTAAGAGTCAGGAATCACATAAAGTTTACGGCTCTTAATATTTTGTTCTTAAAGGCATTGTAACCAGAAAGAGGTATTTTCAGTCTCGATCTCCTTCTTGGTCTTCATATTCTTCAAAACCCTCCTGAGGGTTTATCTTCATTGTTACTTTCTGATGTAACTGGGGTAGCCTTACCTTGTATGAAACGATTGTAAGTGTGTGTTTTGGGAATAGGGGACCCTTTCAATACCAAAAAGAAAAAAGAAAAAGGAGGGCAATAGAACAAGGTGCCTAGAATGTCATGCTTTCATGAAATATAAATGAGTCTAAAGGGGTTAAGGGAGATGTTCACTTAAACTAAGATTTTTGAACACCGAATAGTGGTTATTTAATCAAATAAGTTCAGCAACCTTTTTTGTTTTAGAAAAAAAGATAAATAAATAAGCCCCTCTAATTACCTTAGAGTTAAAATAAAATATTCTATATTATCAGGTTAAATGTTACCCTAGTACTTTCATTTCCTTCAAAAATCAACCCAAATGATGTCATTTTACCCAAATAGTGGTGTTGTTTTTTGGCCAAAAATGACATCATTTTGGTTTATCCATGCACAAAATAACATTACCAGGGTGACATTTCAACCAATAATACTTATGAATTTTTCCGTTGTCTTTTTTTTTTTTTTTTTTAAATAAAATGATGCAAGAAAAAAAAAAAAAGAAAGAAAGGAAAGAAAGAGGGAAAAAAAAAATCCAGAGCGAACTGTGTCATTAATGAATTATTCCATTCAAACGAATAAGAAAGAGTCAACCTACACTGTCTCTTCCCAAGGCTGCATAGTGCTGTAGACCATTACATGAACCGTCCTATAACAAGTAAAAAAAGGGGGAAGTTACCAGCATGTCTTTTCAGAAGGAGAACTGAAAAATGATAGTGTAGCCAGATGCTTTTAAACAAAAGATAGAGCATGAATAAGGGTTAAAATATATAACCAAAAACCAATCAGTAATGCCCAGTAAAATGCAAGAGTTCTTGAATAAAAGAATATACCATGGTCACAATGAATAACAAATGTTTTATTTCTAGAACAACAAATAGAAGTGACGAAACAAAACCAGAAATAGTACAAGACATCCACTTAGGAGATGAAAGAAACAAAACACAAGAAGTGAGGCACTACAATCTTGCTGAATATCAACTAAGAGAACTCCTGTGAACGCTCTTGAAACATTACACTGTAATGGGCTTTGCACATGTGGCATTGCATGAGTTCAACTTCTTATTCCATACAAATTCAGCCATATTGAAAATGGCTGAGATCAATCATTCAAATCATACACTTTTATGTCCTAAGCATATGAAAAAAAAATAAAAAATCTGAAGGATGATTCATGCTGGTCATAAAAATGGCAGATTTCGTCTAAATTTACTTCATTCTAATGGAAAATATTTTCCTTATAATTAAGTGACAACTAAGCTCTCCATCACAATCTTTCAAATTCAAGAATACTTTTGACTGGGAGAGCTGGGATCAAAAGGTAATGGCAGCAGCGGCTCTCTGTCAGATAAGTGGGAAAAAGGACATTTGCACGATCAGCTAATGTTCGCATGTTTATTTCATTTTTCCCACAATTGTTGAAAAGAAGTGCATAGTTCAAAATTTTGTTTATAGTATGTTTCTTTTTGCAAAAGCAGCAAATTTCCTTTTTGCTGCAACCATGCTTATGGTGATAGATTTACCTGATGGATTGGCAGGTGGGAGATGACAGTATGTGGTGATGCACTCTTTAAGGCTTCTGACAGATTAATGCAGGCAGCTAAGCACTGGAAAGGATCTTCAGCTGTTAACCACCAGCGTTCTCCATTGACAGGGTTCTCTGCTGAATCAAATATCTCACTTAGATGATTTTCCACAAATGCTAGACGGCCATCATGCGACAACTTTTCAACCCCGCCTGAATACAAGTTTGCTAAATGTATTTTCAACCAATGTAATCCAGACTTCCCTAACGGCCTTCCTTCTGCAAATTCCAGAACTCCTCGACAAAGATCGGAACTTAGATGAGTCAAATGTGGGTGCATCGGGTATGCACGACCTCGAAAATCAAGATTGTGAGGATAATAAAATCCCTCCTCATCTTTCAGCTTCCGAGCAACCTGTATAACCAATGGTTATGGAATGAAATGTACACCATATATAAGCATGTTATTAGGCAAGATGTGCAAATTCAACATTTGGTTAGTTACACGAGCTATTAAGTGAATATGAAGTCAAAATTTAAAACATTGCAATAGATATAAAGATTGTCAATCAAGCCAACATCTTGATTGTTTTAGCATAAGAACTCGCCAGCATTTCATTTCTATGAATGAATCAATTCAATCAATCGCTCAATGTTGCAGCATACTGCAATCAGGCATCTTGTCAATTTGAAAACTGAGAAGGAAGTAGATCTTACAGAAAGCTTAAGTTCAGTGTCACATCTTTGGGAGTGCCTCTCTTGGTTTATTTTCTTTGCCTTCCTCACACTCCATTTCCACTTTTGAATTTCTGTTAGATCATCTGAGGAAGGTTTCTCTGGTATAGGAATCTGAAACCCAATGAAGTACAATTCAAACACATCAAGTTGTTTAAATCGCAAATTAACAACATAAGAAATTAACAGATCTTATCATGGTAATTGACTAGAGGGCAATTTGCTTATGCCATTATATCCAACCACCAAGGTTCTTAATGCATGACAGATTATTTCACTATAACCATGTGCTCTATGAGATTTCAAGGATCACCAAATCAAATTAGCATAGTTTTCCACAATGAATGTGGAAACTATCAAAAATAGTTGCATAATACTGTATGTTCTAACATTTCAAATGATCCCATTGCCCATGCAACAGACACAACGAACTATTGCACAAGAAATTGTTTCAGTGAAAGTTCAATTTGTTCTCACATCTCCTCGATTGACCAAGCCTGCATTGTTACCACCACTTGCCCATATCCTCTCCACCACATCCAGCACTCTTCGATTCACCCTCCATTTGGTATTTCCAAGTGTATCCAGGGCCTGTTTATGTGACATCAGACCAGAATCAAGTCATACGTCAACTTCATGATGCACAAAACAATAATCGTCGCTCGATTGAAATATAGCAAAATGCCATTAGACAAGGAATCTCGAGCAGCATACTTTGGACCCAGCCATAAATTTCAGTTAATTGGCATGATTATATGTCATCTTTTAGCACAGGAAACATCTCTATACGAACACTTCTCATGCATGAAAAAAAATTGCCACGCTGTACAATAAAACCAGTCTTAAGAACAAAGCATAAGTTAGAACTGAGATTCAACAGCACACATTTGATGGTCGTAATATTTGGATGAAAGTGCTGTACGTAACTATCATAAAAATATTAGAATAACCTACACTATATGCTACATTAAACTCAATCCTAGGAGGATTCATTTACATCCATTAAACTTTATTTTCATTTTAAGGATATTACATAATCTTTCTGTATCTTGTTAATCTGATCTATAATTAAACTTTTATTTGTTCAGTAGTTATGGATCACGTGGTGAAGTTTTTTTTGTCATCATGAAGCAGGACAGGTGTGTACACTTGGGGAATGCTTGAAAACTGCCAGCTGGTCCACAAGCAGTGCACAAGTTCTAGCCAGCCAAGCTTCCCAACCCCCCCCCCCTCTCTCTCTTCTATGCAAGGAAAAAAAAAAAAAAAGCAAAGAGGAAACCAAAATAATAATCACTCACCTCAAATACTTTCTGCATCTGTTTTCCAGGAACACTCCTGACTGCATCTTGTTGCTGCCTAGATCCATGAGTGCGCATGATATATGAAGGCAAGAACAAGTGACCACCCTTACTATACCTGCAAGGAGTATCAATATAAATTGGCAATAAAACTTCCAAATAGCTTCAAAATAACAGAGAAACCATGTGCAGTCCATATTTACATTATTTTTCAAAAGGAAACACTCATTTGGGTAAAGCATGCCATGGTCAGTCAAGATTCTGTACTTTTAAAACAATATCTATGGACCTTCACAGCCTCTCATAAGAAGGTAACAACAATCTTTCTAAAAAAAGCATGTGATATATACATTGTCTATCCTCTCTGGTTCATACATACCCTCTCCATTTTTTTGGAGGCACCAACATTGGAAAATAAGGAATCAACATGTGCTTAGCCTGCATTAGAACAGAAATGCCATATATTAGTAGAGCATCCTAAGGACAAAAGTCGCAGTTAGACATGTATCTAATATCTTCAATACTTCCACTTATTGCCCAAATTCGTAGAGGAATATAAGTATGAGATGCTTTTAGTGAGTCTAAATAAAGATTTGAAAACAGTCATACCAGATCTATGCACCAAGTAAGCGATAAGTTATACCACCAGAAACCATTTTCCTTTTCTTCTAAAGGACCAATAAAAAACTTGAGATGTCAAATGAACTATGGTAAGATCATTTGGATGCATTTGCTAACATTTATGCTAAGAAAAACAAGAAGCATGGAATTATGGAAATGGGCAATAGAAACGCATTAACTTTGTTGAAAATTATTTAGGTGGATTAAATGGGTAGGTAAATTCAGAATAACTTGGTAATCGAAATTGAATTTAAGTGGACTAAAATCCTCAAGTTCAGAATGAAAGAGATGTTTTGTTTTAGCTCACCGTTCCATCAAGCCCTGTGAGGATGAGAGGATCACATTCTATAACCCCAAACTTCTTCACAATTTTCTGCCTAAATGGATAAAAAAGAGAATCATAAACAAATGGCACCAAGAGTGAAGGGGTGGGGGATTGGAAGCAAAAGCAATTTTTTTAAAAAAAAAATGCACCATTTACCAACCGTAAGGAACTTATGACAAACTGCCATGTATGTGGAAAAATAAAATCTATGGACCAATAATCAACCATACAACCATCTCTTGAAGAATGTCAATGGTCAGAAAGAAACCAAGATGAAGAACCTAAGAATCATATACTGGCCAGTGCTCATTTATGCAACCAATTCCCTAGGAAGACCCAAAACTGATATGGCTAAGGATGATATACTGGACAATTACCAATCTGCATAGGGAGCACTTGGACAAAATAGCTTACGAAAGGAAATAAAAAATAAAGTCTCACCCTGGGTTCTTTGTTACAGTTTTAAATATGTGCCTAAATGCAGGTCGAACATCCGGTGGAATACCCTCTGACTGGCTAACTGGAGGTTGTACATAAGCTGTTTCAGTTAATAATTCTATTAGACGACTTCCGAGCTGCAAAATTATATTGGGCATTAGAAAGTAGGAGAAAAAAACAAAAGAAAGACAACCTTCAATTAAACAAAACTAAGTAGAGAAATGGGGCCAGTTAGCCATTTTGAAAGAAATGGCAAGGGCTACAAACCTTTGCTTGTTTATCTCGACTCCAAGGTTTAGTTTCATCCTGTTTCACCAGATTTTGGACCTCAATGAGCCTTTTCCTTCTAATCAAACTATTTACACGTTTCCTAAGCATCTCCTTCTCCTTGTCCATACTCTCTTGAACGTCATGCATTTTCTTCCTTTGGTAATTCTTGGTCTTCTCCAAGAAATTATGAATTCTAACCTGAGAAGAAAGAGAACTGGTAGCTCAGCGATAGAAAAGTTATCATGTTTGATGTTTGAAGAGACTTTGCAGGATAATTTTTCATCTCACTATAGGTAGCTCAAGTTAAACCTGCTATCAATTCATTTATAGGAATTAAGGCCATGATCAACAAGTCGGGTTTCAAACTTTTCAAGTTTGCTTTATCTAAATAAAATCAAGCTCAAGACTAACACGAACTTAACACCAAGCTCAAGAACAGTATTCAAGTTTTATCTGTTAAATCTTAATTGATTTTGATCTACATACATGTGCTATAGTAGATATCATTATAATTCTAGTTGGTAGTATTATTTTTTTATTTATATACTATATATATCAGTAACATTTTGCATGTTACTACTTAAGTGTTTCCTACACATATCTATGCTCAAATTCAAACAGAATCTCTGAATAGCACCTAAACAAGAGCACCGCATTCTTACAACTAACAAGACACTATATGTATACTAACTAGTCAGCTTTAGCTAAATAATCATATATTCTCCAGCCTAAAATCGAGAACTAGGCAAATAATTTGTCCATTGCATCCCAATACTAAGTTATAACTTAGAACCAAAAACAGAAACTCTAATACTCACCTCATGCTCAATAGCCATGCCAATCTGCACTGCAGCCTGGACAACACGCACGCACCCATCTTCATGTCCCAACATCACCAACCCCATCATCTTATGCATAACAATGACCGCCATTTTATCAGCTGGCAACAATTCAATATTGGGAGAAAATGCCGACTTCTGCTTCTTGGATTTCTCCAGTTTCTGCTCCCTCCCTATAGCCTCTTTCAATGGTTCAAACCACCCCAAGAACAAACTTTTAACATAAGGCAAATTAGGTGCCAACTTTCTCTCACACATTTCCCTCACTAAACCCCTATACTCCTCGGCCATTCTCTCCCACGCCTCGGTCTCTTCCCTAACTTGCCTCCTCCTTAACAAATTATACTTCCTCTTCTCAATATCCTTGAACTCTACCTTCACTTTTTTATTGGCTATTTTATACATACCCTTCCAAAAAAGAGCTGAAATCCAAGGTGGGTCTTGAATAAGAACTCTTTTCGAAGACTCTCCGTGCATAATTTGGTCAAATTTGATCAAAGTTTCAAGATTTTGGTGGCTATTAATGGTGGGGATTTCAAAATCATCAAGGAGACGGTCATGAGAAGAATCATGTAAAGGGTGAAAGGGAATTGGTGGGTTTGGCAGGGGGATTTGGGATTGAGAGGGAAAGAAGAGGAAAAGAGTGAAGAACGATTGGAAAGAGAATGAGAAGTTGGGTTAGAGAGAAAATGAAGGTTTTTGTAGGGTTTATGAAATTTAGGAGGTTTTGATGGTGTCCATGTTGGGTGTTGAATAGAGAAAGGAGTTGTGGAAGCCATTTTTTATGGAGAGCGTGGAGATAAGGGTGGGTGTAGAAGAGAAGGCAGGAGAACTGAACTAGGAATCAAACCTCTCTAAAACCTCAATAGCTAGTCAGCTACTGCCAATCCACACAGTAGGATATTTTATTTGTAATGAAACACTACGGACTCTACAAATCCATTTTATTTATTTATTTATTTTTTTTTGGGAACTTCAAATTAAACCCTAGTGTATTATCAAATTATTGGTACGGTAAAAAAACAAATTATTTTATCGTTTAAGTCCTTCGAAGTCTTAGACGTTTCTCAATCAGTTAATTGGATCCTTTCGTTAGTACTGTCCAGAATTTACTTAAAAAAGACTCCATTTTTTGCACAAAAATATACATATTAAGCAGAAAAAATTACAGTACATGGATAGGAATATCTAATTGAGAAATTTTGAAACAATAAGAATCTAACAATTTTGGAATAAATTGAAAATTAGGATGCTAGATCTAGGAAAAAAAATTGAGGTTTCTCCTTTTTTTGTTTTTTTGTAATTTTAGTAAAATCAATTTAAATAAGCCATTATAGGTCATTGTATTATTAGTTAATTAGTGGGTAATTGATCGTATCTAAGGTCACTTGCATTGTAGGGTAAACATATTTTGTTATAGCGGATTTTCCAACAAGCTAACTCCCTAAAAGAAGAGTAAAAATAATGGGTGTTTCTCTTTATTTGAATAATAATAAAACAATAATTACATAATTTATGGAGATAAAAATATCGAATGGGATCTTATGTATTGTAATTTTTTTCATTCTTTAAAAATCAAATTAGTAATTTACACAACAAATTCAATCAACCGACTTTTCACAAGGTTTTGATCAAGTTCTTTATACATATAATTTCTAATATCAATCTTAATTAGTTGGGTGGTTGAAAAGCCAGGTTTTTAGTCAAACCAACTAACCATGTAATTATGATATAATAACACTAGTTTTTTATTATTTTATGAATGAGATTGGACAAGTGATAGTTATACCGAAAAAGAGATAATTAAAGTATTGATGAATTACTTTTTCAATTTTTTCAATAAAATATATGTATTTTAATTTTTTTTTAAGACAACAATTTTTTTAAAACTGTCATTTAAATATTTATTTAATTTTTTTTTATAATGATTTGTTGTTTGGCTTTTACCAATTAACAAAAATATGAGGCTTTTTTTTTATATATAAGAAAAGGTCTTTAAAAAATAAATCTTTTATTTGGCATGAAAAAGTTCTTTTTATTTGGAAGGAATTGAATCTTAAGGGGAAAAAAAGCTCAAAATTTGAAGTCAGATGATCAAATCAACTACCACATCCTCACAAAATGGAATAAATTAATGAAAATTAGATCGAAGTACTGGATTGAGAGTTTTTGAAAAAATCGGTGTATTCCAGCACAAATATTAACGTATGTGTACTTCATTGAAAAAATGTGAAAAGTTAGTGTATGCTCATGAGAAAGCATTAACCAAGAGAGACGACTAGTCACTCAGATATCCTAACTGCTGTTGTTCAGAATAAGCCAATTTGAAATGGGCCTTAAGTGTGTGAGCCCAGCTCTGATCATCTGTAGGTATATTTTATATCGAGTTTGAAACTCAGTCCACAGCAGGCAGCAATGACAATTAATTAATTGGTCCATTCCACGCGTAGTCGTTTCTTTTAAAACCATTAATGGTTTAAAAATAATTTTTTAAGGATTTAATTTGGTTGGTATATTAAGTATTTAGAATTCCTCTTCATGTTTTCGTTTAGAGAAAGCGGCAAGAAAAATATTTTTTTTAATAAATGTATTAATTTATATGTGAATGACCTATTTAAAATTCAATCGCGAAAACACTTAATTTCATTTGGTAAAAATTGATAAAAGTTGGTGTTAAGATATTTTTATACATAAAATTAAATACAAAAAATATTTAATTGAAAGAGTTCTATATACATCCACCAAGATGAAATTGAAATCTCCACCGCTCTTATTTAGTTATAAAACAAAATATATTGTCATTTAAGGATTTTCAACATATCAAATTTACTTCAGATTAAAAAAAAAAAAATTCCAACCATATAAGCTTTTGGTTAGTATAATTTACACATAAAAACATTAAAAAAAAAACATAAATAGACATAATTTAACAGTTGTATATTTAGTATTTTTTTTTTTTAGTAAAACAGATTTGAATTCCAATAATTTTAATTTATTTTATTATTGTGTAATGGAGTAAACTACTCCCAAAAAAAAAAAAAAAAACTGCTGCCTGAATGACATGCCTGAAGGATCAATAACCAACAATTTTATATCAGGTCAATTGATATGATCAAGAAAAATTCTTAGGATCAGAAGGTAAACTAAACAAACAAACAGCTAGACCTAGACAGCCTCAACTCCGGTGGGGTGTGCTTGATCAACTTGTTCATTCTCCCCTGAAATCTCCTCTAAAGATCTTCCTTTTGTCTCAGGAACCAAAAATGTAAACAGAAAGCCTAGCACATTGATCATGCCAAGCACTATTAGTGCATTTTTCATCCCAATACCAGTTGAATATCCTGGATCAACCTTGGACTTGTCCTGATTCTGTGCTGCGTACAAGAACCCAAAAGCCCCTATTATTGCACCAGCCTTCCCAGCAGCTGCTGATATCCCATGGCATGTTGACCTGAACCTTGCAGGGAAAATCTCCGCTGGTACTATAAATGTGGTGCTGTTGGGCCCAAAATTCGCAAAAAAGAAGGTGAGTCCATAAATGACAATGAAACCAATGTTGTTTTCTTTTAGAGTCCAGTGGTGATAAGGAATGGCCAATATAAACATGAACACAGTCATGAAGAAAAACCCAATCAGCTGAATTGTGAAGCGACCAATATAATCGATAAGAAAGACTGTGAACCAGTATCCTGGAACTGTGCCACAGAGTGCTATAAAGAATTGTGCCCTGGTGATCTTGAAAAGTTCTTCCAGTGCACTCATGGTGTGGGCCTTTGGAAGCCAACCAACAGCACTGAAAATATCCTTTTGGAACAGGTTCTGGCTATAGTATGCAATGTCAAGTAAGAACCAAGTGCTTGCTGTCCCCAGCAAGTGCAATCCATGACGGCGAAGAAATTCCATGGACAATAACCCAAAAGAGTTGCTTCTATTGATCACCTTCTCCCTTCCTACCTCCTTTTGAGGTTGCATTTCAATGCCCATGACTTTGGACATATCTTGACTGGCTTTCTCAGCATTCTTGGCGACCAAGGCAGTGTAACGAGGAGTTTCTGGCATCGTCAAGCGCCAATAATAGGTTAAAGCAGCAGGCAATGCACCGAGCATTAAAATTATCCTCCATACATAATCTGCTTGTGGCACAGTAGAGCCGATTGGATCAACCGAGTAAGCAGGAGCTTTGCACACAGCACGAAAAATTGCAGAAACAGCCATAGCAACGATACCACCAGCAAGAATTCCAAATCCTTGCATAGCAAAAACAGCCGCAATAAAAGCCCCACGCGTCTTCTTGTTAGAGTATTCAGCCATTATGGTTGCTGAGAGTGGGTAATCCCCTCAGATCCCAAAACCAAGCCAAAACCTAAAGAAACACAAAGTAGCCATAACTGTTTTCGGCGAACTCCCAAAAGAAAGGCCGGAACCAATGGAAGATATCACCATCAGCATAAGCGTGATGCCATAGACACGTTTGCGACCAATCTTGTCACCAAGCCACCCAAAGAAGAGTTGTCCAGCAAGAGTTCCGCATAGTGCTACTCCATTAACGGCAGCAGCTACATTAGGAGGCAAAATACCTGGTTCTGGGGATCCTTCAACTTGGTAATATATGCGGCCAAGTAGTTTGGTCACCAGAGAGATGCAAAAAAGATCGTAAGCATCAGTGAAGAATCCCATGCCAGAGATTATCACAGCTTTGATGTGGTAGAACTGAGTTTTTGCTTGGTCTAGCTTTAAGAGAAGATCAACCTGCCCTTTGGTGGCCATGGTTGGCCTTCCTGATCTGAAACTTTTTGCTAAGAGCTCTTTCTTTTCTTTATTTGAAAGGGAACCTGGAGAGAAACTAATATATTTATAGAGTCAGGAACCAAGCATAATAGTCCTAACAAAATACGGTACAAGTGTCCAGGGAAAAGTAGGAGTTCTATGCTAGCCGGAGATCTACTCTTTCTGTCGGTCGATTTTCAGAGATTTTAGATAATAAAAACCGACTTATTTGGTTCCCAAAGACTTTACCGATACTGTTTGCGCCAAACATTATAAATAAAAGGATAAAAATCAGGGAAGGATAAGAATTAATCCATTCAAATTGAAAGCATTCAAAATAATAAAAAATAAAAGGATAGAAAGAAGAGTACCCTCAATCCCTTCCCTTTTACACAAATAAAGTGTAAAAATATTACCTCTTTTATTTAAAAAAATAAAAATAATAATTCTTTAATTAAAAAGAAAAAACAAATGTGAATTCTTAAGGAACAAAAAGACAATTGTGAGTACAAAAAAAAACTGTTATTTATATTTATTTCAAAATAAAAGCGAAAAATAAATAAAAAGCGTAGAGGCCTGACTCGAGAACCTGAATATGGTTCAACAAAAGCCCATGGCGATTCGGCGATTTGTTTTTAGTTGGTCCCTCTAGTCAAGGGCTCAAAAGACATACCGCCACGGCTAAGTTGATGGGGGCAAAAAAAAAAAAAAAAATATATATATATATATATATATATATAAGTCACAGCTACACAGCCCACGGGAGGTAGTTAAGGCCTAAGATAAACAGTACCTTAATTCACGATGGGCTTGACCCAATTTGGAAAGCACACTTTAAGGTTACAGGAATTTCAGTTTCAGAGTAAATTATAAATTAATCCCTCTTGTTCCACAAAATAAATTACTTAGTCATAATCATTTCTAATTATTTAATTCTCCATCATTAAGTTCTTGCCGGATCCATCAAATTAATACATAATACTCAAAATATTTTTAAATATATATATATACACACACACACCCAATTGAAAGATCTAGTTAACAAAATAAAATATCTTTAATTTTTCCTTCATTTAATGCCAATAAGAATTCAAAACCAATTCTTTTAGTGCAAACTAGTCGGTTTTTCACGCTACGCTGTGAGTTAAATGATTTTCTTTTTCAATTCGATAGTTTATATTATGTTATTAATCAATTAAAATATATAAAACTAAAAATAAAAGAAAAAATTTCATCTAATTTCATAATTTTTAATCAAAAAATTATATTTAATATATTCTTATTTCATAAAGTTTGTAATTACCAAAACACAATTCTTATTCTTTAAAATTGATCTCTTCGAGTTTGTCGTTTCTCATGAAAAATCTCATTAAATTAACTTTTTTTATATATAATTTGATTGTTAAAAATGATTTATTTTTATCTATGTATAAATTTTCGAATAAGTTTTTTTTCAATAAACACAATTCTTCTTTATATTCTTTATGAATTTTGTTATTAAAAAACACGACTTGTTCTTTTTTATATATTTATTTTTAAATAAAAATCTATAATAACGTAAATATAAAAGTTTAAAAACATTTTACCACAAGATCACTTTGAATCAGCTTTGAATGAAGTTTAGTATAATTTACTTGTTTGTTAATGACTGTTCAATAAGATACCCAGTGTTTATATTAAGGGAGTATTTAATGCAAGGAGAATAAAGAATGCAAAGACAAAGTCATATATGCATAGTTAGTTTGATCGGACGGTCGAAAAAAATATCCAAAACAGCTTAATTTCGATTGGATAGCTGAAACATAAAAAAATACAAAATAATTAATTTGCATAGTGATTTCAATAATACAAAACATAAGGCCCACGCATTTACAATCAAATATGATCAGATATATCTTTTGAAGGAGAAGCATTTAATGCTTCGACAGAAAAAAAATTACAAAAAAAAGGGCATAAAAGATAGGGAAAAAAAGAATAAACAAATGGCAATGAAGTAATAGACCTAACAACATGATGGCATGAAAGAAATTAAGTTTAAAACAAGAGGCGAAAAACAAACCACTTGCAATAAAAAATTGAACAACCAATTTATTGGTTAAAAAAGACAGCAGCAATTAGCAAATCTAACGGCCAAAAACGAATCAATTGAAACACAAAAATGCAAGAACGGTCGAGATTGAAGAAAAGAACAGCATAGTAACAATGAGTCTGCGTCCACAGTAAACATGCGTCTAAATAAATAAGAAATTACTAGTAAACATTTCAGATCTTTTAGGTTTTTTAGTAATTTCTTCATTACCAAAAACAAATCAATTGAAACACAAAAAAGCAAGAACGATCAAGGTTGAAGAAAAGAGCAAGATAGTACCAATGAGTTTGTGCCCACAGTAAACATGGGTCTAAATAAACAGAAAATGAATAATGAATATTTCACATCTTTTAGTTTTTTTAGTAATTTCTTCATTACCAAAATGTATGAAAACCAAAAAAAAAATGTTTTTCCAAAATTTTGGCACAAAATTCAACAAAAACATAATAAAACAAATTTTTTGAGAAAAAATAAAAATAAAGCCAAGCTTGCGCCATTAGGCCTACAGAAGCAGGCCTGCATGGCCTAACCATAGTTAAAATAAGAATCCTAATAACGGATGTTCTGTTATTCATTTGCAACTTTCGAATAAACTAAGTTGGTTGGAAACTTCGTGGAAAAATCGAGATTTTTAATGTTTGAGGTAAAAATTCAATCTGTGTATTATTTTTACTCCAAAGCACCTTAAAAATACTGAAATAAGGTTAAGAAACTCGTTTGAAATTTTAACTCATTTTAATATACATAAAAATAAAACAAACTCAAACACTAAAAATATTTTAAAATCTCAATTTATTTCTTTTAATCATTTTATGATTAGAAAACCACCATAAACAAACTCTTATCTTTAAGATAAAGAGATCGAAGGGAAGATCGTCTATCAAAGTAGTCGGAATGGATCTGATTGTAGCTTTCTTTCTTCTTCCTTCTCTTTGTTCGTTTATCCGTCATCTCTAAATTTAATGATGAAATTATAAAAAAAATAAAATTAGGTGTAGAAATAAAAAACTTAAGAAACATCGGGAATCAAACTGTAATATTTGTTAAAATTGAAATATTATTGGATGAAAATAATCTGAAAATTACAACAAATGCTAATATACCGTTGATGAGTAAATAAGTGATAAAAATAATAAATTTCTCAAATCTTTTATGTTTTTTTGTTATTGCTGTATTTAGTGAGTTCGTTGTGCCAGCATTGCCTTTTGACCATGGAAGACTAATTTGCATAACCTTTCTTTCTTTGACGAAAATATCAACAGTACTCCTTAGTACTTTGTCATTTCAGTCCATATATATAGTTCATGACACATAGAGACACTAATTTATTTTTTTATAAAATATAATATAATGCTCCAGTGACAAACCAATTCTGATCTTCTATACCATTTTCATAAATGCAGATGGAGGTGGGTGGCTTGGCGTTGGAGTCTTCTTAAAATGCTTCTCCACTTCATCTTCTTAAGTCTCAATTTTTCTTTATTTCTTTTAGGTTAAACTATCCTTGCAGAATTACATCATTTGCATGCACTTTTATTGGATCAGTTGTAACAGCTGAATCTCCGTCACTTCTTCAAATCAGGCATCACTGTCAAGATCCACATCAATCCAGCGATGAGCCTTTTTTTTGTTTTTTTAGTTCTTCGTTTACGGTGATCTATCACTTTTATGATGTTCTTAAATAACATTTCTTATAAATATTAAGTATAATGATTTTTACCATTAAAGAAGAAAAAAATAGAGGACTGAGTGAATATAATTTATTTTTTTTTCAGTATGAAAGATTGGATTTGAGTCGAAATGTTGAATATGAATGCAGTACAGTGAAAAAAATAAGGTTATTAATTATGCAAGTCAATCTTAAGATCCACACACATTATGGAATTCAAAGAAAGGATGCCTCCATAAAAAAAATCAATAACATCCCGTGGATTATCTTAACATTTTTTTTTCAGTTTCTATGTTAATAATTTTTTAAAAATAATTTTAAAAGTATATTTTTTTTTACATTAATTTAATACATTTAATAAAATTTAATAATTTATTTAAATATCAACTTTAAGATTAGAATCTAAAAAGTTAAGAAATTTTTTTTATAAGTTAAAACAGTATTGAAAAAAGATAAATATCTTTGAAAATTGCAATTTATATCTTCAAAGCTTATCTCTAAAAATAAAAAATTAAGGTCATTGCCTTGAACTCCAGTTTTATTTCCTTCTTGATGATGGTACAATCACTTTAATGATATTTGTTTATTTTAACTAATATTCGATTAACTCTTCTTTTTTTTTTTTTGGATTCAATATTTGATTAACGTTTGTTGTATGGGAATGTAAATAGCAAGCTTTTAAGGCAAAAGATTCAAGGGTTGTTAGTTTTAACAAAATAGGATGAAAAGTTGGACCGTTTGGATTTTTTTTTTTAATTTTCCACTAATAATTGATCGTGCTGGATTTAATTAAAATCACAACTAATTCAGTCTCTTTGCAATCACAACGCACCTATACGAATAATAATTTCTTTCTTTTTAGAAGTATAGGAAATTTCCTATTTTTTAAAGGCGCAATCTTTTAACTCTTTGCTACAACATTTTTTTTTTTTTTTTTATACACCTTCGACATACATTCGCAGTACACATTTCACAACATTAACCTTCTTTTCCATTTTTTGTTTTTTAATTTTATTCTAACTTAACTTTTCTTTTGTAATTGCTCTCTTCCTTTCTTTTTTCATTACCTTGCTCTCTTGCATGATAATAGAATCTCAAAAAAATCTTATATTCAAGTAATCCATCAATTTATTTTTAAATTTCTCAAATCCAAAATAATATTTTCCTTACCATAATATTCAATAGTTAACCTTCAACTTAACACTAATTAATTATTGGGTCTTTTGGTAAGATAATTTTTTT